TTGTCACCAACCATTCAGAAGTGCGTTCACGTTCTATGGTAGATGTTTCATGAAGTGAATCTACCGCCATCCTACATTTTGGGGCTCCTTGTAGGAAGGGCAGAGAGATAGGCTAGACAGTTCACGCATTAATTGTCCCATGGTACGATCACACAACACGTTGAGGCGGCGTGTGTAACACTCTCCGAGATGTACGCGGATCGATAATGACTGATTGACAGCGTGATGATGGTAGCTAGTTGATAGGAGGAAGCAGACCACTGCATTTAAGTTGCATCCAGGTGTAAACTCACCATGTTTCCTAACCGATTGGCTGGAGCAACACTAAGTTCGATAGCAATGATACTGGCGATACATTAGATTCATCTGGTTTGCAGTGGTGTAGTAACGTGAGAGTGGAGATGAGCAGAGCAAATGCAAGAGATCCAGATAAGAAAAAAGATTTACACTATTGCTCGGCTAGCAATGCGAAGTCTTCCTTCTGCACTGCATGATCGCGTCTGGAAGCCCTCTTCCTCTCCTTCAGCACCTCCTCTACCTTTGAATAACTTTTCTCGCCTTTCGGACGGTCACGTCCCTTGGCCCTCTTTCCAATATCATCCCCCCTCGACCCACCTTCCCGCGTAGACTGGAACCTCTCTTGTGGACGATTTTTTGGCGGATGAGGGAAAATATCGCCCCAGGACGATTTCCGCGCGTCATAGAATGGTTGTTTACCTTGGGATTTCGGGATAGTGAGACGCATAATTTTGCCTGTATCATATGTTAGACCAGTCTTAGGGCCAGAGATGATGAATGGCGACAAACATTCCGCAGTGCATGCATCAATGATGATGTGCCCACTCTTCTTCAAAGGTGGGAAGACGAGGCGCGGCCAATGGAATGCCTCATTTCGCAGTGCAGCTTCAACCTCCTCTGAGTTTTCAGCTGGCACAATTTCTGCAGGAATGTGATCGGTTGCTTCAGCTTCATGTCTCATCTCAACATGATCTGCATCAAGCACAAGCTCCTTTGTCACCCTCTCTTCCTTTAGCCTGATCCGCTCTGCCTCCTCCCGACCCACAGCGCCAACGCGTCCTACACTCCTCACCTGTGTGGAGATGCCTTCGCCCACTGTACTTGGACGCGGCCCGCGTTGAATTGCAACATAAGAGTACTCGATATCTTCGTGACCCTCACGTACATGTTTTGTAAGACGAACAAAGGACGGACGTTGCAAACGTTGTGAGAAGCCACACACTAGGCTCACGGATTTTCCAGAGTACAGAGGGCAAGAACCATCGTGCGGACACTGTTGCAGGAAGACAAAAGTATCAATATGACACATCGGAGGATCGAGGAGTCCAACACCCACAGGAGCAACAACGTGGGCACCGCGAACAGGCCAGTCTGAAGTTTCTGGGTCGTTGAGTTCTTTACGCCCCATCTCGAGGAGATATTCGCGTGCTTCTGCAATGTTCTGAAATCCAGCTTTGGTTTTGTGATCGATCAGGACCTATAATAATTCAGGAGTATTAGACAGCGACTGAATTGAAGGGACAAAATGAAAGCTCACGATGGTATGTGCTCCACTTTCCCACAACTCTTTCACGAACTTCTTCCGCGCGAGAGGCGTCGGTAGAGTTGAAAGCATGAAAGCAGACAGGGCGAGAGCATCATGCCCCTCCGTTCGCTTAATTATATCATCTTCCCGGAAAGACCTTTGCCAAGTTGCACTGAGGGCGCCTAAGTCTGTATCTGTTTCATTAATTTAGTGAGTGCGCAGCGAGATGTAGCATGCATACGTCACCTCTCAGTAGACGTTTGCCTATTGCAACAAGTCCGTCGCGTTTGTCGATACCGAGGTATGTGAAGATGTTGGATGTGGAGAGGTGCGGTTCCTCGGAAGCGCCAGTAAGCTTCTGAAAAGTATTCATCGATGCCCTGATATTCTTCAGCATTTACAAGTTGCAAACATCTAATGACGCACCATAATCCGCTGCCTGCACCTGAGCCCCAGTCTATGACACGCTGCACATTCCATTGTGGACCTAATCTGTGCTTAATGTGGTGGAGCACAGCACAAATGGCAGAATAATGTGCAGGGAGAACGACCGACGCGAACGCTGTCCCGTCACGGTCTGAGTGTCGCGCCCCTTGCTTACGAGAGCGGTATTTCACGTCGTACGAGTGGTCCCATCCTTCACTCTCATCAAAGAAGAGACGCGTCGCATCACTATGTAGCTGTACCTTGTCAGAAGCTGTTGAGTGATTAGAATGCGCAAAGACTGATTTTACCCGACAAACCATCTATTAGAGCAGTGATTGACTTTTGTAATTCAGTGGGCATAACAACAGCACCAATTTTTTTGCTTCCAAACAGCGCTGCAGGAGATTTGCGGTGCTCGCTTCGTTCAGAGTGACCTTCAACGAAGTCCTTCGCGTCCTCGGTCTCCTCTGGATATTCAATCGCGACAGGTTCAAGCTCGCGTGGAAGTCTCTTTGTCACTACGTGCTTATGGCTCGTCAAAGAGATATCTATGTCTTGCAAAAGCGCCTTTAGCGTTGGGTCGAGGTCTAGAGCTGCGTTAGGCTGGGTTGATGCCGCAACTGCTGACGTCGAGAATTGAGGGCTATCATGCCGAATACTATGCGCAAGGATGCGTAAAGTAGTGGATGTACCTCGAAGCATCCTAGCAGTCCTTGAAAAGTTGAAGTAAGCCCAGACACTCAGTTCACCCGGTGAAGCGCAATTCGAAATTGTGTGATTATGTAATGGAAGTAGAATTCAGCTAGGCGTCATCTGCAGACTTTGTACAGACGCGTCCATCCCAATGGCCAGCAGGAAACAAGTTATCCCAGATGACTCTCATAGCTTTGGTGGGCGTCCTGCGAAACGGGCAAAAGTAGATGATGAACGCCAGGCGAGTACATCTTCCGCGGAGCCGTCAAACGGCATGGAGGATATTACTGGAGCAGCACAACTTACAGAAGATGAAGATGAAGATGATTTAGAAGACGGGGTTGAACTGGGGCAGTCGAACAATGAACCTAGAGCGTCAGACCTTTACCTTGACACAGTGCGTCATTCAATGAAACCCATTGTGCACATATTCGCTAACAAGGCCTTTAGATCAATCGAGCATTACTCGACTTTGACTTTGAGAAAGTGTGCTCCGTGTCTATGTCAAACATCAACACATACGGCTGTCTAGTCTGTGGAAAGTACTTCCAAGGACGAGGTCGCCATTCGTACGCCTATGCGCACTCCATTCATGATGACCACCATGTTTTTATCAACCTCGAGACAACAAAAGTAAGCCGAATGATAATCACACGTACATAGACTCATGTCACATAGGTGTATGTCCTTCCAGATGGTTATCTTGTCTCTGACCCATCTCTCGAAGACATCTCGTTTGTCCTCAATCCATCCTTCACGATGGCCTCAACATCCACCCTCTCCTCGCCATCCCATCTTCTGAAACCCTCCTACGACCTCTCGTCAAAACCTTATCTTTCTGGTTATATTGGCTTAAACAATATCAAGCGAAACGACCACATGAATGTTATCATACATTCCCTCCTGCACATCCCTCCTCTACGGGACTACCTCCTTCTGTCCTCCTTTCGGGGCAAGGAGTCTGAACTCGTTAAGCGATTTGCCGCTCTTGCTAAGAAAATATGGAATCCTCGGCTATTCAAAAGCCAGGTTAGCCCTCACGAGTTTCTCCAAGAGGTCAACCGCGCTAGTGCGGGTAAGTTCCGACTCGAGCAACAAGGTGATCCTGTCGAGTTTCTCGGCTGGTTACTCAACCGATTACACAAAGACATGGGTGGAACTAAGAGAAGAAATTCGAGTGCGTTGTGTGCGGACCGACTGGCCTGCTGTTTTACCCCATTCGGCCTCCGAATTGATACATGAAATGGACAGGTATTATATTTTCAACGTTTCAAGGAGAACTCCGCGTGGAGACACAGCAGGTCGTTGTTCGTCCGGACTCTACCGGTTCTGAGAAGCCGCAGTTTGATATTGACAGAGGTAGGATCGACTTTGGTGGTCACCTAGACCCTTATTCATAATAGTGTATGTCAGACATCAAGGCTACTGTGTCGCCGTTTCTCTTTCTAGCGGTTGATCTTCCCCCACCTCCTCTTTTCCAAGATACGATCGAGAAGAACATCATTCCACAAGTCAGCATCCATTCTGTGCTGGCAAAGTATGATGGAGTCACCACACAGGCAAGTTTAGCTCTGCTTTCCGCTTCTTTTTATTGAACCGAACTAATATATTATGAATACATGGGCGCTTGTAGGAGTCTGCTGGCCAGTTACGCAGGTACAAGTGTCAACGCCTCCCACAGTACATCATTTTACACTATAAGCGATTTACAAAGAACGCCTTCGTCGAGGAGAAAAATCCGACGATCGTCACATTCCCACTCAGAGGAGTTGATTTCCGTGAATGTGAGCGCTTCGAGTCATACTCACGTGATAATCGCATTAGCGCAACCAATGACTGATGATACGATTTATGCGCTATAGATCTGGATGCAGCACCAACGCATCCGCCAACCGTCTATGATCTGATCGCCAATGTAACCCACGAATCAGTTGCCGGAACTACTCGCGACAAGGAAAACACGATTTGGAAAGTTCATCTCCGTGCCGCTGGCGGGGGGGGCGAGGGCGAGAAATGGTTCCAGATCCAAGACCTCATCGTTGAAGAAACGCGCAAGGAGATGATCTTCCTTGGGGAGACCGTGCTGCAGGTGCGCCATCCCTGTATTATGGGTTGTATGATCTCACGCGTTCAAATTAGATATGGGAGCGGCGTGCTGCGAACGCTAACGGTAACGCGTCAATGAGAATGGACGTTGATCGACGGTGATACCGAAGTATTGGTTAGACATTAGGTTGAGGAGATACCGGGGTTCCGTCCTTACATATGTTAGATGGGATCCCCGCCCCCAATAAGACCGGAGATACAAACACACATCTTACATGTCGTGATACACACCAGCGCATGTCAATGGAGCTCAGCGAAGCTCACGCGTTACTAATCGTCAAAGACAATACATGAAAATGTCTCATAGACTGTCTACACCCCTTTTCTGGGCACAAGGCGATCGTACGGCCGCCGTTCTCCGCGGTGACCATAACTGGCACACCTGTCTGATTGATTAGAGAGCGCGTGGGCACGCTTTCAGGGGCGCATACCCTGCTGCACGTTATTCCATATTGTGCTAGCGCAGTGTAATGTCACTTTGCCGAAGAATGCGGCGACGGCGAAGATGCAGGGGATTTCCCTAGCACCTCGGGTGATGTTGTTGACATGTTCACAGGAGAGGCTGGGTTTCGGCTGATGATGGCAATTGTAAGTTGCGATAGAATCCCATAATATGCATGGCGAACTCACTTCGCAGTAGCTTCTTCGAAAAGAGGTTTGAATACGTAAACCCCCGAAGCGACGCCTGGTTAGTTTCACATTAATGAGAGCGATTGAGGTGACTCTACTTCATACCTGTTAAACCTGCGACCATGTATGGAGTGAACCGCCGTAACATGATGATGGCTTTGCGTGAAGCGTACAAGCCATTCCAAACAAACAAAACAACTTCGTCTTCCTTTTTGGGAGAGAAAATCAAACTCAGCGGCTATGAGTTTGCCTCGGGTCAGAAGCCAACACGTGCAAATGTATATCGTCGGAAGTCTAGCGGTACGCCTCTCGCAAATGAACACACCAAGTATTTGCGCCGTTGTTGACCCAGATGAATGTTTATAGCAACGTAGCAGATAGAAGCAAGCTATTGTACAATATAGTGTCAAGCAGAAATATCAATTAATGCCCAATCTTTCACAAGCAATCCGCGCCGCCTCCTCTTTGGCGACACTCTTCTGATTCGCAGTCGCAGTACCGACGACTTCGCCCTCCACTGTGAATGATGACGTCTTAGACAAAATTATTCAATCTCGAGAGATGGACGACACGTGCCTTTGCAAGTCAATGTCCATGAGAGAGCATGCGGCGGTCCAGACTGAACCTCAGCCCAGGTGACAGCGTGAAGTTTGCGGCGGGATTGATAGTCTTTACAATATCAGAATTAGAGTCTCCTTACTTTAATGAAGCAAAGATTGGGACTTGCGGTTGTTCAGGGCAATAGTATAACCTGAAGAAATGTCAGCATTATTCAGTGGCAACCCAGACGCGATAACATACGCGACATTATGTGCAGGCGACAGATAACAATTTTGTAAAGTTGGCAAAGTGAAGAGTACTTCAGTGTCTGTCCTGTACCACAACTTACGCATATTTAAATCTGCAGGTCCAACGAGAGGCAGTCAAAGTGAATACCGATATTGTCTGCATTTGGCCAGGGAGACCGAATGGCCGCGGTTCCCTTAGCCACAACGAAGAAAGTCCCGTCGTATTCAATCAGAAAAACTGCGCAGGATAAACATAACTGTAGTTTATTTCAGAGGCCGTGGGCGAGTGCTCTTGAAGACCGAGGCAAACGTCACCATTTTTGCGACAACGCTCATTTATTGTTTCGACCGTAGAATGCAGAGTCCCTGGAAGACAGAACGGCACCAAGACTGATATGCATTACTGTCAAACAAATAACAGCGAAAAAACGCCCGCAACGCCCCGGTCCAATTTGAATGCCGATCTGGATGCGTAGGAGGCCAGCAAAAACGGATAGCCTGGTTATTAACCCATATCGAGGTAGCGGAACCAGGAAACAACTCAGATGCGGTCCGCATTATGCTATAGTGCAGTGCAACCAACAACAATTTGTGGCCACGGCGACTCTGCGCGCTCGAGAGAGGTTCGGAGCAGATGTAGATAAGAGAAACTTAACAATCGCGTGGCCATATGACACACGCGCAAGGGACGAACAGATACAGCGGAGATTTGTGGTCGGCACTCTATCCATAAGTCCGACAGCAGATCGATCATACTTGGGGCCCAAGTCTAGTCACCGACATGTGACGAATCTGGGAACTGATGGAGGTCGATCAGGGTCGATAGGAAATCATTGGCAAAGAAGAGTATCTCTAAACTGTGAATGTTGAAAGGTTAATTGTTGTGGGCGTCGATCCAAGACCTGGAAGGGCCGCAGTGTAGAAAGATACCTTCGTTGTGGTCTATCTCGACGACCACTTTGATACGACATAGGAATTCAGATATTGACCGGAAGGAGCTAAGTAATATCGCCGTGATCGACCCGGAGTCAGCATAGAGGCTTCCGGTGTCTTGGTAGGTATCCAGCATAGCAGGGTTCAAATCTGATGAAAAACTGCAAAGCAACATGCCCACTCGTGATGGTCTGAATGGGAGACGGAGTGTAGTACTCAGGTCAGCAGCAAGCGCTGTGTGATAAGGCAGAAATATCTATGCGTCGAGGTTTTATCGACACCTACTAGGCGTCTTGGGAAGAACAAATTTTTGAGAAAAAGAGACAGGATTGATTACAGACCCTGAAACATATGCTCTAACGAGACAGATTAGATAAGATGAGTGACGTGTATAATCTAAAACGACGCAGGTACAGGAACGTCCATTGAAGTACGTATGATGGATGGTAATGAATAAAAATACATGAGGATGAATGCAGAACTCGAAGGGATGCGCAACTTGCAAGAAAAAAATGAAAAAGCGAACAAATGAAGATAATCCAATATGAACTCGTCTAATGCCACATTGGCATGCGGGGGGTCAGCTTCCGCGGCGGTGACTTGTACTTTAGCCTTGATCAGACCTTAATGCAGTCAGGGCGTGACTGGCTGCCACATTCCTTGCTTGGTGCTTGTGAGACCCCGAGCCGACTCCATAGGTCATTCCGGAAACTTGAATAGCGGATCAGAGACGTTTGATAGGCGGATACGAGGACGAAAAAAAACTTGCTTCTACATGTTGACGTCCATATGTACTGATGCGTAGGGCCGTCTCGTACATCGATCCAGCTCAGAGCGGAGCTTTGTCCGATGGACTGCAAGTCTGAAATATACAGTAAGTCTTCTGAATCACCAAGGCAATTGTACGAACAGTTGTTGAGCGCATTTGTAGCGTCTTTAAACGTCGTCAACTGAGGCAGAGGATTGCAAAGGACTGTGACAAACCATTAGCTTGGTTGCTTCGAGACATTGCGAATGTTTGAATTGACGATCATACCTGAACTTACTAGCAGTTATTATACCACTGAAACCTATGCTTCATGAGACTTTGGAAAAAGAGAGACGGTGTTGAGTGGAGGCAATGCCCGATGGAGCTAGGAGAATAATGTTTTCATGATCACGGCGTTGAGGAAAATAATGGGCGGAAAACCAAAAATTCCCAAGATGCATGAAATAGGGCGAGCTGCATGCAATGACGATCGACTCAGTGAGAAGATGCGAGGGACTAAGTGACATGTGCCCCTCATTTATCTTGTGCAGTGGATCGTTCTAAGCGCTTTACAACCGAGCTCGGAATGAATGATGCACATTTCCTCTGGGTACGAGGGAAGTTCGAACAAGTGACTGTGGGGCGTAGTTAATCATAAACTGGAGCAACATGGTCTGTAAACCAGACTTCTGAACTGCACTTACGAGCCGGTGATAAGTCAGTTGATCCCGTTCGGTGTTAGAGGACCTTACCAGGAACCTCTGCGATTGGATCTGTTATTGAAACTTTCGCCCATTACGCCTGTCATATGTACTCAGGGCGCAATAACAAGATCAAAAAATGGCACCAGGCAGACGTGCACTCCCTGTGCGGTGGAAAGCAGACATGTGGAATACGCATTTATGGCTTTAACGATTACACGTTGTTGCACGGTAGTTCGTACGGGAACGGGAAGCGACTCGGGCCACGGCGGTTCTTCTCACCAACCTGAAGCCGAGGAGTAGCACAGCCACGTGTTTCACTGGTGTCAGTTATTCACGCCCTCATAATATTCATTAGAAATTCTGATAGACTCGATAACTACAAAGAAACATAACACGAGTAGGGGACTACACTGAAAATACTGATCACAAACGACAGAACCAGAACAAAAGCATGCAAGCAAATTGTCAGGAAATCCAAGACAGTCTTGTGATCAAGATGATAGGGTGAGATGACAACAAAGCAGCAAAAGCAGTCAACGGCAAATCAATGAAAGAAACTCAATGGCCAATTCCTGGTTGCATGAGGGCTTGCAGAGCAATCTGACAAGCAATTTCTGTGGCAGACCCTTTGGTTGCCCCCTCGCCTCTGCCATATTCACAGTCTCGGACTAAGGATAAATTAAGTATGTATCAAGAAGTAGTTGGAAAACAACTGACAGTATACGATCACGGTCCACCACAGTGCGTGCTCGAGACCGGTCGATGAGCTATCGAGCCGGAGGTCTTGTGTAGATCTGAATCTATGTTGCAGAAAATTGTTCAACTGCATGCGATAGTCTAGGAGGGGAGAAAAATCAAACATCATCACATAGTGAACATATATAGACGCACGAGGTTGAAGAGGTGCGCTCTGTTGGCCAAAAGCGACATGCTCGTCTTGTCTATGTTGTGTGTTATACCCATTCCCTCGACCATGCGCATGCTGTTGACCGCTGCGGCGACTCCTGCCGTTGCAGTAATTCTGGTCGTGGGCGTAGCGTGACATGGCGGTCAATGATTCAGACTTGGACTCGAAACCGGGGGTGAATTGGTTTATGAGTGCGCCAGTGGTCTTCTTTATATTGAGGAAGCACATACGCCAATTGCTTATTTCGCAGCCAATGGCCAGCGCAGTCGTAACATCAAAGTCGCTCACTATGAGTTCTCCGCAGTTGCAGAATCGGACAATGAACGGTATGCATTCTATCCTGTAGAGGATTCTGAGGTAGGCAGTACTCATCATAGATGTTCTCTGGGTTATGCATTCTGGAGCTATCGGTCAAGCGATGTCGTAAGAATGCGGCCAAACTGCTACTAGGCGTGCTGGATTCTACCCTGTATCTGTGTTTGACCTGAGGGTATTCTGGACAAAGGTCAGCGTACTTGGAATCTTTCTTTGGTGAAGAGGTACAACCGGAGTACTTGACTGCCATTTTCATGCGCTTTACGATTGCTTCATAAGGCAGATATGTTACAGGCGGGATCATTAATGTCAGCAATACAGTAGCATGAAGTTCCAAACCTACTCGGAGACACCGTGATACCGGGTACAGGAGGTTGGTCTCCTGCAGTAGAACCTTTAGAAGGTAGACAGTGGTTCGTCAGCCTAGTGTATACGCCGCAGTACGTGATGTGAATTGCAATACTGCTGACCTAGATGGAAGTACAGGGCTCCATCACTAACCTTCGACACACAGTATGCGTTGAGTCGCACTATCCTAGATGGAAGTACACAGACCCGTTGACTGAAAGAGTAGACGAATCACTGGGGTTCCACATGGACCAAGCTAGTTCCTTGGAACCGCCGGTGACCGGTTCTGGTGAGTACTAGGTTGAGGGATAAAGTTGAAAGCGTCTGACCCGAGCAAAATGGTTGTCCCACGCTGGAAAGCAGCGATTCGTTTACACTCCACTCCCCAAAGTAATTGCATACCTGGCGAAACTCTTTAACAAGGCGCACATGAAAAAACTCAAGGTGGGTTGTCCACCAACCTATACATCGAAGACCTTTCCGTTTTCGATGAGCTTGTTGTTTTGGTGCACCCTTGTGTCATCATGATCAAGCTTTGAACTTTCAAAATTTCAAGAGCAGCGGCTTCCTTAAAACGAAGCTGAACGAAACCGCGCGAATAATTTCTATTTTCAACTGGAGACTCTGGTACGCCTAGCTCTGCACGGCTGCAGAAGATACCTGCACGGTTCTCTGATGCGTTCGTGTATGTGTCGATTCTGAACAACAGCACTAATTAAGGCGATTAGGGAGAATGGGGAGCCTCCGACGGGCTTGATGATCGCTCAAACCAAGAGCTCAAAGCTCACGCTCGCAAGACCCAAGTAAATCATGCAGACCCGTAGCATCCCATTGGCCAACCTCCCGACAAGTTTCCCTACATGATATCGAGTTTTCATCGCCTCTACCCAAACCTGGATTTGCCTCTGTCAGCGAGGACCAAGGTTATCGACGTCGCTGCCTGGACATCTTTGTTATCTGTGACAATTTCGGTTCTCCCTCGACCAGGTATCGGAAACTTCCATCAAACCTGTACCCGATGACCTTTCTGCACTCATTGCAATACAGCCTGCACGATATCGACACTTGCATGATGTCCAACGCGCCTATCTTCAAGCCTTTGCGTATGCCATACACATCTAGCGCGCAGCCATTTGGATACAACCCAGGGACAGGTCCACTGCCCTTGAGGAGCTCATCTTACAAGGCTACATGAACAACAGTACTAACGGTTGCAGGGCCCAACAGCAACAAGTTGTGCACACATGTGATTGCACTCTTCATCAGCACCCCCGTCATCTAGAACCCGGAAGTAAACTTGGAAGCAAACCCAATGTGAACACAAGTATTCCACGGCCCCGAGCAGAATACCACCTATCCGCTTACTGGTCCAGCCCCTGGGTGAGGCGAGGTATTTGTCGATATTCCTGGGATGCTCTGCCACTAATCTCCGAAGATACCTGCCATACTTCTCGACCCATATGAACCGGAGTCCAGGGTAGTTTAGGGATTACTGTGATAATATGCAATTTTTTTTGTTGCTCCTCAACCACATCACACATATTCTTTCACAAATTCGCCTCATCATAGATTCGTATCTCTACATGGATCTGATTTTACTGATTTTTAGGATGACGTGTGACGTTGGAGCAAACCACAATTTGGTCACGTCCTGTCACGCCTCAGCACAGTCGCGGTACAGTCGACTTTCAGTCTCAGCCGCAGCCTTCAAACTCTGTCAAAGTGCACACATCGTGAAAGGCTCGAAAACGGTTGATACAGCAGTATCACCGAGTATCGTAGTTCATATAATAATGATTACTGTGATTGTACTGGTGTCGCTGATAGGCTGCTGAGTAGAATTGATGTCCTGCATACACTTGCACTGTGTCGCCAAGTCGGAAATCCGCATTACCGTGACTCGCGACCCTCATACCGTGGATTTTTCTTGGGGTCAGGGTTGTCATCAAAATGATGTAGTGTTTCTTCCTGCCCTTCGGTAAGTAGCTGTTAAAATTTGTGGGGCCTCAAATGAGGTTTTGCGCATGCCGACGAGGGGTATTAATGGTATGGCAAATTAAACTGGCCAGCTGCTGCCAAGGGATTTTTAACCCTCCGAGTCTCTGACAGCCTGGATAGCAGCCGCAATGCTGGCCTCGCGAGTGGCATCTTCTTCGGCTTTTGGCTGGGTTGCCTTCCTGCGGTGTGGTGCCATCGGAGAGAATGATGCAACACGATGTGACCTCCGAGCAGAAAGCAAATGCCGTGTGTGCCGAGGAGGAGATTGAATTACTTGTGCATCTCTCCTGTCCAGTCGTACTGAGTGATTTGTGTTGGGCGAAGGTTGCAAATTGCCACTCTCGCAACATCCAATAATCTTTTATTCTAGTTATACGAAACATCATTTCTAGGTACTCTGCGTATGCCTAAACTTTTTCAATGCCAGTTGAGCACGACATTGAGTTGTTATTGAACTTTTCGCATATTAGCAATTATTGAACGGGGAATGATAGTATGCAACGTTGGGGAGGCGGGTGTTTTATTATTCTATATAAGGGTTTAACAAAAGTTGTGAGAGATTTTTTGGAACTTTAGTGGGTCCAGCAACGTTTCGGCTAGCCGAACCCCTTCTCTGGCCTGCTGTCGACTGAAGCATGCGGTCAAGCACCTGAGCAGCGAAAAAGGGATCTCAGTATTCTTACATGTGAGCAGAATCCCGTTCTTGTTGCGAGGTAATTGCATCCTTATCCATGGGTTTGGGGGAGACGAGCAGACTGCACATGAGTAGTTTGAAATGCTGCTACGGTAGTGGTCTAGGCACACCCGTAATTTGTACTAAACTCAACGACTTTGATCCGCCTTAGGACCTAACAAAGTGACCAGCAAAGGCCTACTATAGGATACCTTAAGCTTGGGACTTGGGTAAGTTGGAGAATACCTAAAAACCGCCACAATCAAGACAGGACAAATGAAACTGAGTCGTCGCATAGCCTTTATGTTAATCTATCAGCGATGATGTTGATCAGTCTAGGCTTGGACACACGGCACATGATGCCATACTCGAGCGCTTGTTACATTTGGTCCATGTCTGTCATACCATTGGGGTTATCGGTTCTGGTGCTGCGTGGGTGGAAAGCGTGAAACGCACACGAGCATCCGATATATTCCCCTCTTCGCAGGAGCTATGTTTGAAAGGCCAGTACTCTTATCGATCACTGAATATTGCCGACAGGCACAGAATTCGCGGCGATGAGCGGCCAGGTGCACACTCATCATGTAAGTATAACCGAAACCCACACCCATAATGATAGGCTCCGAAACTTTCAATCTGCCCAGCATGAACAAAAACAACCATCGCACCTCGACTAGACTCGAGCTTCAATTAAGCAAGTACCTTACTGGATGGAAGCACTTGTCGACTCGGAAGGGCACACAAAGTTTAGGTATCGAGTGCCTGATCGTGTATGCAAAGGCTCCGACCAAATATTGGATCAAACCAGTGCTATAAACGTAAGTACTTGGATGATCTGAAGCGGAGCTTGCTAACGATTTGATACGTTCTGTCAGACCTGAGAGAGTTGCCAAGGGACCTTGTTTAGGGCACTACTTACTTTTGTTCCTGCAAGATCTGAGAAACGTCTACCAAATATAAGTTTCAACGTTCAGCTTGGAGAATCTCGCTTTACGTCCCTCTGTCCCTACCTCCCTTTGAACGAGACCTTGTTCAATATGGGATTGTTCTCCGTGGCTCGTATCACTCTTTTCTGTAAGTCCTCAATAAATTTCTGAACCTGTTTGTTAGAAGCTCACTTTCGAATGTGATCGTATAGCACTCGCCATCGCTTTCTCCCTCATTGGATTAGGCCTCAATGCCTATTTTCTCTCGTTGACTGTGCCAGATAATTTCTATTTCATTTTCAGTGCTTTGGGCGTTGCGACCGCTATGTTGACAATTGTTACCATTCCAATCATGTGCGTATGCCTTTGTCTGCTCACCTTGATCATCTCAATTGTCCACAGGTTGATCATTGATTTTACACGACGTGGAGCGTTCACTTCTATGATTGTCTTCGAACTCTCGTGGCTCTGTATGTAGTATATTTGGAATAATGCATACTAGTCTAATCCTTTTGATATACAGTCATTCTTGCGATTCTGTGGGTTGCCACTGCCGGCGAAGCTATCACCACCTTTAACTATTACTACCCTCGAGGTTGTGTTGATACTACGGGTGCGTGAATTTCAAATGTCATTTTTTATCATGCTCAGTCACCACTAGATCCCACCTACAACGCGTATTGCATGGAGCTGCAGGCAGTAGAGGCTTTCGCATTCCTAAACTTCTTCATATGTAAGTTTTACACGGTTCAGGTCGAGTCTTTACCTAACGATGTCATTTTAGTCTTGGGTTACACTTGCGTACTGCTAGTGTTTTCCATCATTGGATCCAGTCGCGGCAATAATGTCTGGACGCGTTCTGTCAAAGAGGCCACGTTCTTTGCGCAGAAATCGTGGCCCGCACAACAGCAGGTTCCTCTGAGTCAGTACTCGGGCGCTCCTCCTACAGGGTACACTCCTGTTTCGCAGCCTCAGCAGCTAGGCACCTATAGTACCCACAGTGGCACGCCTGTTTCGCAGCCTCAGCAGCTAGGCACCTATAGTACTCACAGTGGCACGCCTGTCCATATGCAACCCCAGCAATTCCAGCCAGCGTATTCTGGCCAGCCACAGGGAATTCCTGTTTAACATGCAACATGATTGTTGCAGGTAATCTGCTCTGATTTACGTTTCTCGTCTCTATCTATTGACATAGTTGGTGAAGGATATCTTTTTACGGGTCTATGTTCTGAAAGTCTGAGACCATATATACTAGTGCTACATGATGCAGTATATTATAACATCCAATAACATTTTGTGTTCCTCCCATATGGTTAGGCCTTGCAATCGGGTTTCTTGCAATTGCTCTGTTGTCGTGCGTGAATCGAGAAACTCAGGATGGCCTATAGGAGATAAGTAGTAGTAGAAGCCTATTATTCATTTGAATGTGTTGCCCGAAGTTGTAATAGGCTGCGGGCGTGTAACTTTATGAAACGTGTCCAAGTCGCGACAAAGTCTACAATTGCAGCAGACATCTCAAACACGAACGTTTCTTACCGCTGCGCTTCACTGAATTGCTCTCCCTTCATTGCTCATTCGAGGTTGGCTACTACTGACGATTAACTCAGCCTCTCACAGATGTCTGAGGATGATGATCGCGCCGCGAAGGCTGCTCGGGCAAAGGCCTTGGTTTGTGTCCTCGGAAGGTTCAGTTATTTCACAGGCTCATGTATTTCTGTAGCTTGACAAGCGACGACGAAAGAAAGTTGCTGGCAGCGGCGCGTTAGCAAGTCCACCTCCGTCGAGGTCATTCACTCCTGCTCTACAAGAGTCTGCACCCTCTACGGAGGACACCAAGAATGATGTTGCTGACCTGTATGTCTACGATCTCTCACCTGTTTATCGCGCGCTCAAACTAATTTCATCATTCCTTAGCTTCACACCAGCAGATTCGGACGCGAACTGGATCGAATCTCTGTCTAGGGTGGACGTGCCGCGCTCGACAGCTTCCAATGATCTGCCGCCATATGCACCTGCTTCGTCATTTCTTTCTGGGCAAGCTGATGCGTTGCAGTCTCAGGTGACATCTCTGCAGACAACAGTTGCTTCTGTTCAAAGTGAGAACAGCAGCTTACGGAGTTCGCTAAGTCGCCTAGAAGCACTCGGGACAGGCACGTCAGTGTATATTATGATGCCGGCTGAGTCTCATTCGTTGTCACAGACGCCAAAGCCCAGCTAAAGAAGCTCGAAGAAGAAAATAGCACACTTAAGCTTCAGCTTCATCAGGAACAGCAGCGTGCTCAAGATACGTCGAGACGTGTAGAGGTGGTGGTCCAAGAGAAGCAGTTACTGGAAGACGTGCACCGCTCAAGTCAAGCAGAGATTCTGCGATTGAAGTCGCAGGCTGATGAGCTTCGCCGGAGTCATGCAAAGGAACTTGATGATCACAGCCGCATAGCGAATTTACACAAGGAAGAGGCCGAGAGGCTTTCAAACCAGCTCAGTGCAGCACGCGTTGAAATACAAGACTGTCACTCTAAAGAGGTGGAGTCCACTAAACGCCGCAATGAGCAGGATGAAAACCACCAGAAAACCATTTCCCTCCTTGTTTCAGAAAAGACATCATTGCTGGCTTCAGTTGCTCGCCTGGAGGAGCTCGAGATGGGTATGTTGACTACCCCGATGACGTTCTCGTCTAACTATATTTTGAATCTAGAGACACAAGAGAAGGGTGAATTGCTCCATGCTGAGCGCGAAAAATCGCAGTCGCTCGACGAACGCGTCAAAGACCTGGAGAGCAGTTCCTCTAAGCTCAACATGCAGTTACAAGAAGCCCTAGTACGAGAAAGAGACCTGGCTGAAAAGTCGCGAGATCAAGTGAGCAATCTTGTTCTAACAAGAGTGCCTCGCTCAAACTTTTTTCAGGAAAGAGAACTACAGCTTCTCAATGCTTCTCTGGAGGAAGTGAGGTCTACATCCGAACAGCATCGACAACGCGTTCGCGAACTCGAGGAGCAAATAGAAAGTGATGATCGTGCCGAACGGCTGGAGGAGTCACTCAAGAACACTCAGGATCGCGCCGAAGAGCTTGAGTTTCAGCTCTCTAAGCTCAAACAGGCATGTAGCCATTTATCTCTCCATCCGCTAGTACTCACCGAACAAGTAGACTCTCGCGAACTCAAAACACGAGAAGGATGAACTACAGTCCCAGCTTCAATTGCGGAATGATAGCGAAACCGAATGGAAGGCTAAGCACGCAAATCTCGAGGAGCAACACTTATCCCTCCAAGAGTGTGTCCACTCTGCCAACCAAGATCGCGATGCGTTGCTTGAAGAGCGCTCGTCACTCCAGTCTCAGGTTAACTTCAACCAAGGCGCGATCAAGCAGCTTCAGCAAAAGCTTGGTGAGGTCGCGTCGGAGTTATCGTCGAGCGACCGTGCTCTTCAGAATGCCCATAGCGACCTGAGGGTTGCCAATCGGCGAGCTGAAGAAGCCGAGAGGACACAAAAAGATCTGCAAACAGAAGGAACAAGGTTAATGCAATCTCTGGACGAGATGCGACCCAAATTTGTGGAGCTTACCTCCACCAAAATGGATTTGATGGAACGAATCGACAAGCTTGAGCATGAAAAGAATTCACGAGATACTTTCATCTCGAAGCTCGAAAATGCGCTTGGCGAGGCGATGGAGCGGGAGGCCGAGGCGGATCGAGTTCACAAAGAAGCAGACTCGATGTATGAGAAGGACAAAGTCTCACTGCAGCAATCGATCATTGAGCTACAGCAGGGCTATGCCGAACTGCAGGCTGAACTAGAGTCATCGCAAGCGGCAGTGCTCAGTTTGGAGGGGGATCGTACACAGCTGCGACAAATCGAGGCGCGTCAGCTAGAAATCATTGACCGCCTCTCCGCGGAATCCGACCAGCACTCACAAGTAATGTCCCGCTTGGAGTCGGACCTTCGGTCATATAGGAACCTTGACGAGGAACACCGCGCCTTCATTGAACGATCCAACTACGAGCATGAAGCTCTACGGACAGAGTTGAACGCCAAGGATGATGAGATAGAGCACCTTCGAACCTCTTCATCAGACGAGGCTGCTCCTCGTTCACTGGATGACGAGATGGTCGGTGCACACAGAGTCCAACATGCTATGGATCTCTCCAATGCCAACTCCCAAATTCGCGCTTTGGAGACTGCCGTCTTCGAAGCTCAGGCAAAGTCGCATAGCCTGCAGAAGCAAATTGGCATCTTAGAAGATCAGCTCGCACAACAGCGCTCCACGTCGAGAGCAACCTCAAGACCGTTTTCTCCCGGAGTGCCAGTCAGACCCTCCAGTCGTACTTTTAATCCTACCGATTTACGACGTGGGTCTTTCTCTCACAGATCAAGCAATCTTGCCCCGCCTTCCCCGCGGACTGTTTTTGACGTTGGACTCTCACCCGAAACTCGTCACAAGCGTCAAGTTAGTCTTGGTATGTTAAAAGCGCGCATTGATAGCGAGGTCGCAGCATCAGCTGGTGGCTATCCTTCGTCGCGACAGCTTTCCCCTGTTCCACAAGGCAACGAAGGAACGTCGGGACGGGAGCCTGACTCTCCTTCCTGGCATTCACAGCACATACACCGGCGGCCACAGTTTATGGACGAGTCACACATATTTTGGTGTCATTCGTGTGATGGAGAGTTAGTTATCCTATGATATCCCTGTAATTAGTTGCATCTTACATATCTAGATTACAAGTTTTACTTTCATGTGTGGTCAATACCCGTCATTCATTGTCTGGACCGTCGAGGTTCGAACTGAAGAAAGATCACATGCAAGAGGTCATGACAAAGCGACATAAAAGTTAAAACTGGTAAAGGAGTGTTATAGTACTGATCATTATAAAAACCCATCCTGTCTCGTCCGAAGATCATGAAGCTTATGCAGCAAAGACTAGCGTACCAAGAAAATCGTCAGTGGATAATTTCATTCAATATGATTGAACTCACTTCAACTTCCTCGGGCCGAAGCGTCCCTCTCTTCCTTTCTTCTTCCACGCCCTTCTCAATGCTTTCCAAAATATCATGAATAAGCTCACGATAATCCACGCCGAAGAAATGCGTCAATTTAGCAGCTCGTCGCCTACGCAACTGGAAGTCAGATGACCCCCTGGGCGACGGCATGGGTATCTCAGTGGTTATCAACGACGCCATGGATGTCCGTGTGGGTAACGAGAGTCTACGTTCTGACTTGAATGAATGCGACGAGCCGGACATCCTATGAGATTCTAGCAAGGGCTGTTCCTCAGTTGGAGAATCCACTACATCGCCGTGGAGGAACCGATGAAGCTCCGCAAGAGACGCCCTGTCATCCTTTGGAATGGTGAGCGACATACATCATTCTACATCTGTCCACTCACTCGGTCAATGATGTCTGTCAGCGACGCGATAGAATGCTGATAGTTCATGTACACAGAAGATTGTGCGAGCGCATCCTGATAGCCAGACGTTTGAACAGGCTCTGGAGAGCTACAAGTCTTGAGCGGCAGTAGGAACGTAGTTGAATCCGAAGTTCCTGGGCGATGCACTTTCTTCCCTTTTGTGTACGCAGACTGGTTTGGATTACGCCGAGAGAAACCAGGAACATTGGCGGGTGTGTAGGTCGGAGTCATAAGGGATGCTACAGGGGACGCCGGTTGAGAGCGGACCACTGTTGCAGGAGCTTGGCGAGTATGGTACAAGGTTTGTGGAGGAGGGATCCCGAAAAGCTGGTTAAAATGATGAGTCTTTCTCATGAAGGGCAACAAGGAATAGCAAACTTTTTCCATCTTCTGAGCACGCCTGACATTCAAAGCCTTCTCCTCGTCGTCAAGCTCTGTCTTGACAGGCTCGAACGATGGGGCAGATGAACCGCTCCTTCGCCTGTAAAGCCACATATCGCGGCCGTCCACAGTCATCGACGATGGAGGTAAAGACGGACCAGCTATATGACCAACGACCAAGTCCGTAGGGACGCGAGAGCCAAGAAAACGGTGGAGTTTAGCCAGCTTGTCACGCTTTCTTCTTCTCTCGGCTTCGGCTTGTTCCTCGGGCGTAAAGGTCTCCACCACAGATGGTGTCGAGGATGAATGATGGAAGATTCGGCGACCGTTTGCCGTGTTCGGCATTTCTATACTGATCGCGTCCGAAGCATCATGTGAATTATCTTCGTCTGAAAGATCAATGAAAGAAGTTGGGGAACTATATTGGTGCTGCGGATCCCAATGGCGATGTGAGCCGTGATGATCGCGAGTGGCTGGTAGCTCCGATGAATCATCCAGGTAGAACGTAAAGCTACGTGGAGTGTAGGGTGTGGAATATCTGCGACCGCTCTGTGTTGATGGGTAGTCTATGACCTGCCATGACGATGACGGTCCCGATTTAAACCCGGGGGTCTTCACGGCAACAGATACAGACATTGCATGACGATGATGCTTCTGCTTCTGCTTCGCTGATCCCAGAAAAGCAGAGAAGGGGGGCTGTGGTAGTATCTTAAATAGGCGTGACTCCTCTACTTCCGATGCAGCCATTTCAACCGCTGGGGTTTGTCCTAGCAGTTGCGCCAACTTGCGATTTCTTCGTATGAGATCAGCTCGCTCGTTGGCGTCAAGCGTATTGGTCGTTGGTGGTAGGGGTACTTTGAGACGAAGAGGCGGTTGAGGAGAAGACGAAAAAGAACGTTTCTGGAAACGGGCTTTGCGACCCCTTCTCTCGAACGGAGGCTTTGGAGTAGTTGGAATGGGTGGTTTCAAGGTATCTTTGGTATCGGGGCCGGGGAATGCCGGACTAGGAGGTGCAAACTCAAGTGTTGCAAGCGAGGTCGCCGAAGAACATGGCGAACTAGGGCGATAGGAAATAGGCGACAAATACGGACCAGAAGTAGGACTCGTGGGAGCAAATATCATTGCCGAAACGTCTGAGTATGAGGATGCTGAAGAGCTCGGTCGCGAGTGCTGTGGGGAATCAGGAGCTTCATTAGCGGCAGAAGTAGGACTGGCCGGGGCGAAAACCATGCTAGGAAGGTCGTTCGAAGATGAATTACAAGAAGTACTAGAATATATGCTTGAAGGTAATATAGCTGGTGCAGATGGACGGCGAGCGGATATGATAGATGGGTCGTCCTGCATATGCTGGGAAACTGGGGAAGAAGGCGAGAAAAAATCAATGAATGATTGCTGGTCATTACTTGCTCGTTTCTGCACCGAAGGCAGAAGTGGCATTTCGATCGGGGATATGGGAGGTAAATGAGGCAATGAAGATGCGTGATATGTGCTTGATGAATTAGAAAATATGACCGCTGCTGACGGGGAATAACCAAATTTAGGGGAGAGGGAGCGGGTAGATGAAACTGAAGGCGAGTTGACGCTCATGTCTGTACCGGTCGAGAAGAGAGACTTGGTTTGCACAGGAGAGAACTGCCGCGTTTCAGTTGTCCGAAGGGAAGCATTAGAAATTGAGGCTGTCTCTGCATCCCCGAATGCGGATAGTTGATGCGACATTGCTCGGTATCCTGATCCTCGCGTCTGTCGCACCTGGGGTACTACAGCAATGAACTAACGTTAGCAACTCACCGTAACATTTCAAAGAAGCTGACCTGAAAGAGATGACTGATAGGCGCTAGACTCTGCCAACTCTGTGCGATGAGGCCGGAAATCAACGTGATTGTCCTGTTTTGGCTTTATGCTGCTGGGAATAGCAGCACTTGTGAGAATGCTCAAAGACTCTCGCCCCTTTGTAAAGATTTTCTCAACCTTGTGCAAAGTAGGCGATGAGCGACAGGAAGTTGTGAGATGTACCGGCGAGTCAGAAGTGTGCACGCGGTAGACATCTGGTTCACTCTTGTGTGCAAGCGAAACTATCGTCTCGGTGGAATTGGCATGGCCATTCTGTAGTGACAGAAGTGATATCGGACCTGTTGTCGTGCGAGTTAACGTGAGCTATCTGTCCAGATATAGTCAAAAGAAGTACTTGCCTGCTTCTCTATCATCAAATGTATTAATAGTCGGTACGACGGGAGTTGGTTTGATATAAGGATTGGGCGTAGCAGATCTAGAGGATGCGGGGCCTGAGTGACCGACAATAGGACTATTCATGGCAGGTAGAGCGTCTGGCCAAGAATCAGACCTAACGTTACTCTTCTTCCGCCGGATTTTCTTGACGCGGTTCTCGTGATTAACTACCTTGTTCGCTGTATTCCGGGGTGGTGGTGGTGCAAGACTGACAGCAAATCCAGACGAGTGCGAGATAGAATGGTATGGACTAGTTGGCGACCCGCTAACACCATGGGGAAGTTCGTCGTGTTGGAGAAGGGCCTCGAGATTGGGAGATATTTTGAGAGAAGTAGCAGCTGAGAAGGGTAAGACAACGTTGATAGATGATGCAGAATCCTTACGGGTCGTGTAGGACATGACATTGGACATGACAGTAGGAAAGAAAGTCTCCAGTTGGATATTGAACCGGATAAAAAAAAAACCAAGTTCCTCCCGCCGCTTAAGCTATATAACTGCGAGGGTGAAGCCGGTGACAGGAATATGAAACTTGGAATTGAGTTCACAGCTCAGAGCTGTCTAAATCTTCAACTTGCAGAAACTTGATGATCACGGAGCACAGAGAAGAGCAAAAAGAAACATCGATGGTCGATGGTCTTCCGTCTCAAATAATAAGTAATGTCGAAGCTTGGACCAGGGTCATCTTTTGCGCACGGCACGCTCTCCGTTACGGCCACTGACACCCTGACGACCACCCCTTCGGAACCTCCTGTCAACCGCTTGACGTGCCGAACCGAAGAAAAACATGAAAACATGAACTTTTTACGAGACAAAACATTCTCTAGTATCCCGTCGGTGACGCTAGTACGAAGTAAGAATACCGTAAGGACTCGGAAGTCTGGTAGCGTTAGAGGTGGGCCAAGCTTAGGTAATTTAAAATTGCTACTCGGAAGAGCCTACTGCCACGTCGACTGTTTTCTTTTTCAAAGTGCAAAAAGCAAATCATTTTCGCCGTCCAACGTATCAACGTGACACATTATTGTGTCATGGAGCATGCTTCAAAGGGGTGACTAGTCATCATGAGAAATAATATGCTTTTTAAATACGTGCGTTGATTATACCGAAATGTTAACGAGAACAAAGTACGGACCGAGAGATAAGAACAATGCAATGCAGATCAGTGATGTACATGGACTAGGAAATTTTCGAGCATTGACCTATAGGCTGTTGTGCTGGTACTTGTGACCTGCGCGGAGGTAATGGAGGCCTGTTATCTGGTCCTTTCATAAGCACCGGTTCAGATACGCCAACAGGTGGTGACATTTCAACTGGTTCTGGAGATGGATTTGATAATCCCTGCACCGGCGAAGTTCCTCTCATCTCTTCTGATGCAGGTGATACAGACGGAACAACGGAATCTTTGGACGAATCAGGCGCACGTGGTACCGACGATACCGTCCGCGGAGGAAGGGGTGGAGGAACAGGCCGTACAGACGGTGAAGCAACATCGGCAGAAAGACTGAGTGGGGCAACATCCGCATTACGTCCATCTGTGTCTGCGCGTGTAGGCGTCGACTGGTTGTCAGAGCCTTGTGGTTGACCTGTCAGAACTGGACTTTTCCACAAGCGATACATGTTTTGAATGGCGGGCCCCTTTGTCTTGCTCTCCGGGGGTGTTGACGAGAGTGCAACGTTCCCCATTGACATGGGTTCCCCGCGGTGGCTCGCATGGATCCCCGGAATAGTCATTGTCCGCGCTTGTGAAGGTTGGGTATGAATAATAGATGGCCTGCGAGGCTCTTCTGTGACATCCGTGAAATCGCGGTCTTTGAGTGGATCATGTTCCGTCGCCGACCTTGACAGAGAAGGTGCAACAAATTTAAATGAGGAGCTCCCTTCTGATGAACCACCTTGCATCATGTGTGGAGGCGACGCAGGTGCACCAGATAATAATGACATATGACCACTTGACGGGCTTGTGGACCTCTTCCCTTTCCCATTGGGGATGGGAATAGGGGCAGACCCACCGTCGTCCCTGCGCTCTCTTCTTTCGGCAACAGCAGCACGCACTTCCGCGTAACTGGGTCGGACATGTGTACCTTCTGTCCGGATACGAGTATCCGAAGGCCCGACATCCGGCACGTCATCCTGAGAGTTGACACTGCTATCTTTCTTAAGACCACCCCAATTGACCCCCCATTTGCGCATTGCCTCCTTAGCAGAGTTGCTCAGCGCCTGCTTGTCTGCGGCTTTCGACTTGAGCGTAGAGAACAAGGAGCTCGCTGTATTCGAACCAGCGGAGGGCCGGGGACTCTTGGAAGGTGCGCCAGAGTCGGAGAGACCAGTGAAGAACTCGTCACCGCCGACCGAGACCGAAGATGAGACAGAATCTGCTCGAGAAGACCTAGAACGTGCTAGAGAGTGTGCTGATGAGGACCGGCCGCGGTATTGCGGCGACAGGTACCCAGGTCTCTCTTCATCCAACTCTATCTCGCCAGTAGGTTTCTCTGGATAGGACTCGGCAGGAAGATCTTGCTTCGGCATTGTAGAACTTGCAGCGCGACTCCTCCGTCCACGAAGACCGGAATCCTCGACATCCTCGCCCGCATCTGAGTCATCCTCACCAGATGACCGAAGCCTAGAGGCCTTTACACTGTTGTCTGAGGTCCCAGTTGTTGCGGAGCGGATGACTGGCACACCTCCAAGTGATGATGCATCTACTACCAGGTCTTCAGCAGACGCTGAACGCTTTATTGACGGTACCGTGACATCTTCGGAGGGACCTGAAATGGATGGGAGGTCTGCCTCGGATGCCGCAGGTTTTACACCTTCAGCTTCAACTTCTGGTGAAGTCGAGGCGGGCTCCGACTGCTGGCGTCGCGCAGCGTCTGACCAAAGTCCACCACGGTGTGAATACGGCGAGCTGTCGAAGAAACTGATATCATCCATGTTGGGCATCACGACAGACTCTTGTATCTAAGTCGTGCAAATTTTAGATTGTGATTAATATGATGGATTATCAAGCATACTCACCACCTCGATGATTCTTGACTTGATCGTGTCAAGTATCATGCTCCACGTAATTTGGCGATCGCTCACGATGGGCTCGACATCAATGACCACACGCGGGGTCTGCGTGAATGCGTACCATATCCGACTACTCGGTGGTCGTTTGACCTTGATGAGGAGGTTTCCATCTATCTCCCGCAGAATGACCGCCAGCACCAGCTTAACGGCGTACGACTTGAATCGAGCACCGAGGTTGATTGTGGCGGTAGCCTCGACGGTCGCACGGACCTCTCCTTTGTATGTAAAGCGCACCTCGAGCGATGCGTCGCCCTCTTTTGTGAGCTCCTTCAACATCGGCTTGCTAAGTGTCGGGGCCTTGTTCCCAATTGAGAATTCGGTGACAGAAATGTCTGTGAGGAATGCAGGGCGCTTGACTTTGGAAAGCTTCTTCATGAGACGACCGATGATGTACGACTCCAACGTCTGTGTGCGGTAGAAGCTAAAGAATATGCGCCCAAGTAGCGCGTTTAACCAGCGCATGGGGATGACATCGGGTTGCTCATCAAGAGTCACGACAAGCTTGTTCATTTCTGAAGGGAGGAATACGTTCTGGAGTGGGTCGAGAGTGGGTGTGCCAGTCGGGTGCTCAGATGCATGCACGAGTGCAAAGTACCAATCCTCCATCTCGACGCAGGAGCGCACGAAGATGAACCATGGCGATGCGCTCAATGCTTCTTGTCGTGCAGCGTCCCGAATTTTCTCTTCTTCAACGAGTCGCTCGCGTTCAGCCGTCCGCTTCTTCAAGCTTCCACCTGCCTCCTCCACCTTCTCGTCGATGTTAATGTCTTGAAGTGTCATTTCCTTTGTCACGCTTGGCATTACTTTTTCTTCGGGTATTGGTCTTGGGCGCAGACATATGGCGTTCCGTTTCGTGTAGAGCTCCCCGTCCAAAAGTCCTTCTGGATAAACACACACCTCATGTCCACCCAACTCTATAGCAGCTTCACACTCCGTCCTACTTTCATCCTCGTACAGGTACAACACCGTGCCCTTAAGGACAACGTACCACATGTCCTTCGGGCGTGAGCGCTTAGGGTCCTTGGAACGCGCATCAAGGTAGGAGCGGACGAGTGTGACGTACGAGCCATCAAATGACGCGGATTCCTCAAACGTTCTACGCATGGTCAGCCAGCCTTTGCGCGTCCTGGGCTTGTCGTTGACTTCTAGCGATGAGGCAGGATCTTCGGTTTCTGCCTGCGGCTCAGTCAACTCGGTGGGGAGCTCTGGCTTAGCATCTTGGCCTGAGTTGGTTTGCACAGGGATAGAGGTGTATATGGCGATGCCGACGACGATAAGGATGACCAAGGGGATGAATGTCAGTCCGCCTAAGATGTACGCATAGAAGAGCGCTTTGAACGACATATCAGAGAACTCGAGCGCGTGGAGTGGCCACTACTACAATACGTAGTGCTCCTGGGTTAACTTCCGGTTAGCACCGAGCCTGATGAAACTGGCTTTAGCAGTCAGTCTGCTCAAAAGGAAAGGAGAGGAGATAAAGAACGGGTATGGACGTTTGTGGGGCAGCTGGGTGAGGAGGCCAATAGCATATAAATTCCCACGTCAAGTAAACGTGTCTCCCATTTCCGCTCAATGAGCTGCGGTAAGTTGATCTCTACAACGGTATTGTACAAATATGAGTTAGATAACACGATAGATACAATACATGAGAATGATATATGTTTCATGGAATGAATTGCCCAAGACGGCGAATGCAACAAACGAGGGACAGTGAAATTAATGGTAGATCAGCGCAACAGAAACTCAAACGTCCGTCCGACAAGGAGGCTGTAGCATTGAACGTCGCCTAGAAACTATGCTCTTAGAGTACAGCCCTCTTCGACACTGTTCATCCTGTGTTGGAAGGACAGCACACCAATGGCCGTTGACGTACTTCCAGTCGTCGACATGGTTGTCAAGATTGGATGGAGCTATGAGGGGCGGAAACGCGCTGTTCGATGGGGCGTATGTGGGCACTGTGAGGCGCACGCCAAATGCTGCATCTTGATACGGTACCCAAGCTGAGGTTTCACGTGCCTGGGATGGACATGGTGAAATGATAATTGTCGGAGCAGAAGGGTGTGTGGGATTGATGACAAGCGGTTCGACCTTTTAACCAAGTTGAGCATTAATTTGCACATACTTGAATCAGACTCACTAAAGCAGACGATCGCCTACGCTTTCTTCTCGGTCGTTCTAGTAGTGAAGCTTCAGAATACACAAATGCGTTGTCTTCTGCTATATAAAGTCTGGGGCCCAGGGGCAACGACGGCTGCGGCTGCGGAGGTACTTCTGAATTCTCATTCGTCTGCAAATTTTGTTCCGGTTTGAATACATAGTCTGGTGAGATGGACAGGAGCGCGACGTACCCGTTCTAATTCTTCACCAAGGGGATCTAGTTCGGATAACAGCCTAGCAACCGTGTCCAAGTCTTCCTCCACAACATTTTTCAAGCCACGATACACAGGCCCAATAGTTTGGCCACACAGCCCGCGCCACGACAAGTCAAGACAGGTGAGCACATTTACATCGACCGACTAAATGTGAGGCGTCCGCCAGTTCAGATGACGACGGTAGATAACCTTGGAATAGACTTACCATGGCATTGTCATTACCAGACAGCGCATGTTCGACGCGTACATCTAGCCACCTGGCAGATTTTCGTGACAGTCGAGCAAACATCCCTTCAGTCCCACTCAAAGTCCACCAAAAAAGTAGTTACTGTGCTCGGGACTCCGAGGCCCCTAATACCTGCGGAAGCGTAGATAATGCGCAAATCAACCTTGATGCGAAACTCGTCAGGTGTCTCTGAGGATGGAGCGGAAGAAGCATGGAATCCAGGTTCCGGGCATTGGGCCAAGGGAAAGCACATGGAAGAGAATCAGTGGACGTGTTTTTGACTCCGGATATGAAGAAGCCGGGGCCGGCTATAGACAAACACATCGTGGGAATATGGCTTGCTGCCTTGACTGCTGGTCGCTGCGAAGTCACTGTACTATTCTGAAGTCTATCTACCAATCTATTATAGTGACACCACAGTATCGAAAACCGTAGTACGAGTGCTGTATATAAGCTCGACTATAAAATAAACCACACAGGTACTCCCAGAGGAAGAAGTGGGGACAATGTGCCGCATGCACTTAATATGTTATACTGCAACACGTGGCGCCGGATAACGCATGATAGTACAAGCTATCGCTCAATGCGCCTGTATACAGGGTCAAGTTAAACACGTCGGGACTCCCAGATTGCAAATAGTAGTGCCGTCGTTCATTTAGCGCATATGGCGCTTTGTTGTGATACTAAACTTTGAAGTTGTTTTCGCATGCTGTGTTTTAGAATCTTACAGGCGCAGGTGACTCATGATCATCTACTCGGTAGTTTCCACATCCAACGCCGGATTGCACGATATCCTCACGAGAGTTAGCTCGAGTTCCTTGGTGTTCCTTGATGAATCTCGGAACTGCGATAGTCGCACCTCTCACGGTCAAACGGGCTGCGAACAGTTCAGGAGCTTGAGGATTTGTAGCCTAGGGCCCGAACGTGGTCCTCCACGTATCGTAATACAGCTATTGGCATAATGCGACTCGGTAATGAACTTCGTCAGGGTCTGGAATTTCGAATTCGACTCACTGGCTGTCCATTACTTTATGCGTGTTTTGAGCTGTGTACTGTGCAAAGATAGGTAGACGGGCCAAGACTGCTGAACTCGGAGGTTGCGCCCATCTTTTTTCGGAACCACATTTCACCATCCGATAGTCCAGAACATCCAGAAGGAGAGAAACAAGTCAATTTGCTCCAGGGACCCGCTAGTGTGTTCTGTATTTATACCGCATGTCGGGACTAAGTTTGTGTGCTCGGGAACGGCCGCGCGACTGTGTTGCCTTGCTCGCACCATCTCAAAATTGATACCCCTCTCTTGATTCCAGGGGGGTGCTTGCAAGCAAGGTACCGGCGGCAATTGACAGTAGAGGTTTGTTTACCAGTCCCTTGAATCATGTTCATGTGATGCTTTTAGACTTTCCAGTTCCCTGTGTCACCTGCGGATTATCAACATTTGTAAGACCAAAACTTAGAATATCGATCTAACCTAAAAAGGCCCCTGTGCTTCTCGCCTGGCCCATGGGTCACTCGCAGATTATTAGCGTTTGTAAGAACAAAGCTCAGAAGAACCTAAAAGAGACTCCTATGCAAGCTTCTGGTCCAGCCAACCCAAGCTAGTGAGCAAGATCCTGCCGTGTCTTCCTGCTGTCTTGATTTCTTCGATGACTGCGGATATTAAAGAACAGTACCTGACGCTGTCAATGCTTCAACTGAAGCTAGATAGCATATCGAGGTATGCAAGCATGGCATACTTACCATTGATCACTAAACAGTGCTAGGGGCTTCGAAGTTTCAAATGAATTCCCGGTTAGTAAGGATCAAAACGAATCACATTGGGTCCCAAAAGGACCCCAGGGTGAGCTCCTTGTGTCCGATTTCTACACAAGGAATGTTTGGTGACTTCCCCGCGCAATTATGAATTCCCCAACGAGGCACTGGGCTGTGTGACAACTTTAAGGAGGTTCAAAGTACGAGAACTCCTGTATTACGTGGCCTTTACTTCGTACAATTCGAGAAGGACTGACCTATTAACCATAGGCCACTCTAATTGACTCTAGCACCCGTTCCACGTAATACAGCCATCACAGCTGACATTAATGAAAGACAAAAGGGCATAACTTCAGGACATTATGGTCAGGATGCAGGAGAATATACATACTTTCCTAAAGCAATTTGCAGAGATGACTCGTCATGATGAACGGCAATAAGCCGGATGGTAGCACGCGGGCGAATCCCGGAAGTCTCCACACAGCCCATGATGAGACCGCTAGTCTGCCCCTTGGTGCGTAACGCCAGGCACCGCCGGAGTGTGGAGGGCCAACTGTTGGTGGCTAGCCGTAGAAGACGGAAGAAAAAAGAACCAGCTGTTTTGAGCTGGCATTCTGCATGATGACCATCAGAACGAACAGATGCTGTCGGTGAAAACCGACGGACGTTTTCGACGACGATTACGTGCGAACCCGAGGATGATGACAATGAGCCACTCAGAAGCTCCCGACTGTGGTTATTACTGGAATAACGATGCTGTAACCATCGTTCCTTCGCGACGGATAAGCAAGTCTCACTGCCAATGAAGGAACGTAGCGGCGCCACTATCAGCTCATGCAATAGTCATGATTGATATGAGACTAGTGACACTGATACGAGGCCGGTGACGCGGATATAAGCTATGTGTAAAACCAACTTAGGCCTAAGTCAACTCATAACAAAGGGCAGATATGCCCGAATGGCCTAAAGAGCTCATACTTGCTACATTGAATACAAAGGCTGCGCGATTGTTCTTATGTCACAGCTGGCGCGCAGTGCTGGGACACGAGGCAAGCCTCGAGGGTCGTGCTATTAGAGTATGTCCTAAATGGGAAAGACGATGATATCTAGGCGCCGCTACGTTCTCGGGCGGGCGGTGTGAGCGAGGATGTGTGGCAAAAATGACGTCGTGAGACATATGTCTAGTGTAGGCGGGCTGACTGATTACCGATGTGAGATAAGTTGGGCCGTTTGAATTGATCTGTTTTTATCTGAGATACAGATATATCAAAACCGGCGGTGAGAGATGGGATGATGATCAGGATAAGGATCACATAGATCGATGAGATGGTGAAGCTGATAATCAGTTTACGTGGAGAAGTCGGGTGTGAGGACTATAATGAAATTGAGTACGCATCGACAACAGGGAAGAAGACGTGTAACAAATACTTGGTAGTATGGATGGAGTTATAGAATACACTTCTTAAGAAGTGCTCCTGGAAGACCACCGGCAATTTCATTTCTCGGAGAAAATAGTGCGTGGCAAATTTCTATACGCACTAGATGGAGGACACATGGTTTTTGACCATTTGACAAACAGGGAAAATCTGATTGGAGTGAGGGAGAAAGCAGGGGAAATACTAGAAACACATGCGGCGATCAGAGATTGATAGTTGGATAGCGCAAGATAAAACATAAACGGAACACTAGCAGGTGGTGCCCGTGGGGCAGGCCCGATGGCAATGTGACAAGAGAACATGATGTACAATCGATGGCACTGTTATGCGTGATGTGGGAGCTAGATTGATGACTGTGTGATATGAGAGGGTCAGGCCAGTCAGGAACGACACGCTGTACTACAAATGAATATGGATACTGGGTTGGTATTATTTGAGCGTGTTGGCTCCAAGAAAGAGGATGTCTGGCGAAGTGGCCTGCCTCGTTGCAAGGCATGACTCTCGGTGACTGATCACGAATACAAAGGAAGCCCTTGCATGGAGTGGCATTGTGCGATT